ACACTTCAAATTACAACTTACGATTCCAGTGGTGCCGGCGGGAAACGAGCCCGGGTTACTCGCATACTGTGAAATTTAAGGATAAAGCTATAACTAGATATAACTTTATCCATAAATTAGAATAAGATCAGAGAAAGTCATGCCATCAAACAGAAACAGAATCAGAAAATTTTTATTCAATATCTCTACACGTACGCTTAGATCTTCTAAACTACGCAATGGATTTTGATTTTGACCGCCAAGTCGAGCAAAAACTCGGCACGGCCGTACCATCCTATTCTCGAAGCACTTCAGGCCATTTTCGGAACCCTATAACTTCGTTGTGGATAAAACTAGAAGCCTGAAGTAACCAAGTAGGCATTGTATAAACTCGGTATATTTCCCATTTCATTAAATTTGAACCAGTAGGTTAAGAATTATAACTAGTCAAAGGTTCTTAATTTTATCACTCACTCTCTGACCGATCATGAAAACTCTAAGGTAATTCTAGCAAATAAAGGAGCTTCAAATTTAAAATACAATTATTGTTTAGTATATAAATCGAGGCAAAACTATATAACAATCCAATTTAATATAATATGTATTACTTGAGAGATACATTGTGTTTTCATGCGATGGCCAAGTCAATCTATTTATTTAAAATATAAAAGATTTATAGTATTGATGTGGTCACTATAAGATGTTGTTAAGGTAGCTAATTACGTAATAACTTAAGACAGAAGGACCCTTAATTAGGGACTGTATAAATTAACCGACTTGGTATTACATGGATCTCACAGCTTTTTACCGTAGAAGAACTGAGTTGCGAGACTTTGTTTATTTACAAGTTATGTTTTTGATGGCATACAGTTTTCATCAATAGATAGAATCATTCAAGAGGAAGGTTTATATTATAAATAATGCATGCATATTATATAATTCTTCTGTCCGTGTGTATGTGACTGAACTCCTCCTAAACTGCTGGACCTTTCTTGATGAAATTTTGTTTGTGTGATTAAGTTGATTAGAGAATGGCTTAGTTTCACAATTGGACCCGGTAAATATAGCGTTGTTGTCGAGATCTAGAAATCAATCTTGCCGGGGTGGATCGCTAGTAGATTATAAATTATACTTATTGAAAGATTTTTTTTTAATTTACCACTGCGCTGGTTCGGAAAAACCTCTCTCCTGGAAGAACTTACTTATGTTTTGAAAAAGAAATGACAGCTTACAACTACGCATGTTACTCAATTTACAACACAAAATAAATAAGAAACAGCTAGGTAGCGATCACTTAATTCCCAGGGGTTATTATCATCCATAAAATCCTTAATATTATAATAACTCTGACGAGAAGATTGTGGAGCTGGAAGAAGAGATAGACAAGTTACGCTGGCATATTATAGGATTATCCGAAGTCCGAAGAGAGGGGGAGGACACGGTAATCCTCGAATCCGGCAACTTGCTCTATTACCGGGAGGGTGACCATCCGTCCCAAGGAGGTGTCGGATTTATCGTCCACAAGTCTCTCGTTAACAACGTTGTAAAGATTGAGAGTGTGTTGACGAGGGTTGCGTACCTTATACTCAGAATCACCAACCGCTATTCGCTGAAGGTCATACAGGTTTACGCACCAACCTCGGCACACCCCGATCAGGAGGTGGAGGAAATGTATGAGGATATCTCTAGAGCCATGCATTCCTCCAAAACCCAATATACGGTGTTAATGGGAGACTTCAATACAAAACTAGGCACAAGAGAGAACGGTGAGCTGAAAGTGGGGAAATTTGGAATAGAGCAACGGAACCCAAGGGGCAAGCAGCTGGCCGACTTCATGGAGAAAGAGGGACTCTTTATAATGAACTCTTTCTTCCAGAAGCGGCCCCACAGGAAGTGGACCTGATCGAGCCCCGACGGTTCGACAAAAAATGAGATTGACTTCATTATGACGACCAGACGACAACTGTTCAGTGATGTCTCAGTGATCGCGAGGGTGAAAACCGGCAGCGATCACCGAATGGTTAGAGGAACACTGAACCTAAACGTTATGTTGGAGAGATCTCGTCTAATGAAGTCAACGCTCCGTCCCCCTCGTGCTAAAATCCAAAGTCCCGAAACCTTTCAGCTCGAGTTACAAAACCGTTTTCAGTGCCTAGAAGACTACAATGAAGTGGACGATTTGAATGATAAGCTCGTGGAAACTGTCCATGCGGTCGGAGCTGAGTTCTGCAGGACCCGCCGCAGAAGAACACAAAAACTCTCTGATCACAGTCTTAATATCATGGCTGTTAGACGGGAGATGAAGCTACATTCTTCAACAGATTTGACAGCATACAGGCAACTGAATAGACAGATCTCCAAATGCATGCGGCAGGACTTAAGCAACTTCAATACAGCTCGTATTGAAGAAGCGATCGAGCGGAACCAAGGCTCCAAAGTCTTTGCCAGAGATCTGTCTGCCAGAAAGAGCCAACTGTCAAAGCTGAAGACCGAATGTGGCAGCATCATTTCCGGGGCACCTGAGATTTTGAGTGAGATTGAGAGGTTCTATGGGCAGCTGTACACGTCATCGTTGGAGCCGCACGTAAGTGTGAGTAACGATCCAAGAGCGAGTCTTATCCGACATTATTTCGATGATATCCCGGACGTCTGTCTGAGCGAGATTAGAATGTATCTTCAGCACGTTAAAAACAGCAAGGCCCCAGGCGAGGATGGAATTACAGCGGAGCTTCTGAAAGCGGGTGGAAAACCGGTACTTGAAGTTCTTCAGAAGCTCTTTAATTCCGTCCTCCATGGTGGCATTACACCGGAGGCGTGGAGCAGAAGTGCCGTGGTCTTGTTCTTCAAGAAAGGCGACAACGCTCTCTTGAAGAACTACAGACCGATTTCCCTTCTGAGCCACGTCTACGTGCTGTTTTCGAGAGTCATTACGAATCGTCTCGCGCGCAGACTTGACGACTTCCAGCCGGTTTTCGAAAAGGCTTTAGCACCATAGACCACATACATACCCTTCGGCAAATTGTACAGAAGTCCGAGGAGTACAATTTGCCACTATGTCTGGCGTATGTGGACTATGAGAAAGCCTTGGATTCCGTCGAAATTTGGGCGGTCCTGCAGTCCCTTCAGCGATGCCAAGTTGACTGTCGGTATATCGAAGTGTTGAAGTGCTTGTACAGTAGGGCTACGATGGCTATCCGAGTACAGAACCAGAGTACGAAACCTATCCAATTGCAGAGAGGTGTAAGACAGGGTGACGTCATATCCCCGAAACTCTTTACCGCTGCATTGGAAGATGTTTTTAAGCTTCTGGACTGGAAAGGATACGGTATCAACATCAATAGCGAGTACATCACTCACCTTCTATTTGCCGACGATATAGTCCTTATGGCAGAATCGCTGGAGGACCTAAGCACTATGCTCAATGACCTCAATAGTGTTTCCCAACGGATAGGTCTTAAGATGAACATGGACAAAACAAAGATCATGTTTAATGTCCATGTCACACCTATGCCGGTAGTTGTTGGGAACACTAAGCTCGAAGTTGTTGACGAGTATGTTTACCTGGGACAAATAGTCCGACTAGGTAAGTCCAACTTCGACCGAGAGGTCAATTGACGGAGTTAACTCGTTTGGGCAGCGTTCCGGAAATTACGGCACATCTTCTCGTCAGGTATACCACAAAACTTGAAAACGAGACTGTACACCCAGTGCGTGTTGCCAGTGATGACATACGGAACTGAGACGTGGTCCTTCACTGCTGGCTGGATGAGGAAGTTCAAGGTCGCTCAGCGAGCTATGGAGAGGGCTATGCTCGGAGTTTCTCTGCATGATAAACTCAGAAATGAGGATATCCGCAGTAGAACCAGAGTGACCGACATAGCCCAACGGATTAGTAAGCTGAAGTGGCAATGGGCCGGCCATATAGCTCGAAGAACCGACAACCGATGGGGAAGAAAGGTTTTCGAGTAGTAGCCTCGTACCGGCAGGCGAAGTGTAGGGCGTCCCCCCACAAGATGGAGTGACGACCTGGTAAGATATGCAGGAAGTCGATGGATGCAGGTGGCTCAGGACCGTGCTTTGTGGCATTCTTTGGGGGAGGCCTATGTTCAGCAGTGGACTTGTGAAGGGCTGTAATGATGATGATGATAATAACTCTTTCTATACAAACTTAATTTTTCAAAGGAATATCTAACTGTTTTATTTCAATTAAGCTTGAATGTATACTTTTTATAAAGGGAAAGAGAAAGGAACAATTCCAACCTATAAATACATTTCTAAAAATTCAAGTTTTATTGCAATGCAATGCATGTAATATTTCTAGCATTGAAAACTTGTTGTATGTAATATGTGAACATGTGTGAAGTAACCCATACATTTTAATATGTATATAACAGCAGATCAAATTATATTGATACAATATCTTCTTAATATTTTGGAAGTCCACTGCTGGATAAAGGTTTCCCGCGTTGTAGGCAGAATTACTCTTAATCGTCACGCTTTTTAGCCGGATTGATGATGTCAGTGCGACGCATTACAACCTTTGACACTGTAATGAATCCAAAGATAATACACGTTCCACTTTTATTTGATACTAGCTGTACCCCGCGACTTCGCTCGCGTGTTAGGGTTTTTATTTTTTGCGCAGAACCCTAATTCTTTTTCTTAAATAAAAGTAGCCTAAGTTACTCCTTATGAAATCAGCTATCTGCCAGTGAAAGTCCTGTCAAAATCGGTCCAGCCGTTTCGGATATTAGCCGGAACAAAGAGACAGACAGACAGACAGACTGACAAAAATTTTAAAAATTGTATTTTACTTATAAGTACCGTATTTAATTTCATATGCATTTAGTAAAAAAAAAAACCGTAATTTTGACACTTCAATTTTTTTATTTGTATAGATATAGATTAACAGAAGGCATTATTTTAATATTACAAACACTTCATTTTTATTTATTATATAATGATAATAAAAATGGTGAAATAATATTAAAATATATATTTTTTACATATTCAACTTTACATCACATTGATTTCCACGTCGGGCACCACGTAGCAATGAAAGAATAAACGGCCGGTCTTTCTGGTAGACAGTATCCGAGACTCTCCAGCAACGAAGGAGTTTTTAAAACCGATTCACGGAAATCGTTGAAATTTATCACTCCATCCAGATCTATATCCATTCTCTTCAGCATTATATCCACCAGCTCCTATAACACGAAGAAGATATCGCTTATTCAAAGTGGATTAGCCACGCTAAGTTATGTTATGGCTACGGCACGAATGGGTGGACTCGATTGGTTTTAATCGTCAATTTCACAAATAACACTACTAATAATAATTATGCTGTGAGTAACACGTTATGTACAAAAACAATTACGGCTACCAGCCACAAAAGAAGGTAGAACTAGTTTCGATAAACGAATAATTAGTTTAAAACGGACAGTGTAAGTATATTCACTATCCCATATCGTTCCGTGTGTGTAGTAATAGGCAACAGAGAAAAACTGAAATAGGAGAAGCATCTTCCTGATAACAATTCAAGATTATAAAAAACTGCAGTTGTCAACCCGTTTGTGGTAAATATTTCAAAATCCTTTATAGGCTGTAATGAATGTATGAAAGGATGGATGATCATAATAATAGATTTTTTCTATAGGATAAGGGTGATAAACGAGCATACAGTCCACCTGATGGTAAGTGGTTGCTGTGGCCCATAGACATACATAGAATCCAAATGCAGATGCGTTTTCACCCGTGAGGACTAAGATGGAGTGCCTCGTTACCAGTAAAATGAGTCTCCGGTTGTCTACACTCACCTTACGAAACACAGCACCGTTAAGCTGCTATTTTACGCTGGTATTGTGTGAGAGCGTGGTCCTTCCCCGGTCGAGCCGACCCATTTGTACTACAACTATACTACTAATATAACTATAGTACCATACTCATAAATTAGTCCTGCAAAATTTATCTTATTCACTCCCTGTTCTTTTAAATTTTGTTTCATGGACCTTTTCGTTTACGTTGTTAGATAAAACATTGGAAAAAACAAAAAAAAGCGACTTTTTGTACACCCGTATATTACCTTTGAACATTTTTGTGACATTCTGATGTACAAGCCATTAATATAAAAACAACGTTGTACGTAAAACATCGTAGTTAATATATTTTCGTGAAATTTGTCGATTGACTGCTTTACTTTCAGGGACATACTTAGATTTTATTTCAAGTTGCGCAGTTGCTTGAAGAAATTTAAATTAATTAATTTAGAATCTTGTATGACATTTGGCTTTATGCATAAAAATCTCTCCGAGAGAAGGTGCTCTCCTTTTCTTATAAATAACGGTAGAAAGAGACAGGGTTAGAGGTAAATTAATAGGGTATTACACCCATTTTCAAAAAGTGTTTTAAATGAATACTAGAGTTATAATGAACCACTATAATTTTTGTATAATTTTTTTTAAAACCGAATAGTGACATAAAAATTACTTTTAATCTATCATTTTCAATTTTCGCGTGAAAACGCTAGCCGCCATACCGTTCAACTCGTGACGTCACTGTCTCAGAAATTTTGACAATTTTGCAAAGGAATAAGATACTTTTGAATGTTTTATAATGAGTTATCATTTATATCATTGTTGTGTTGTGACTAATTGCAAAAATACGAGCACAAGAACGCCGGGGAAGTTATGGATTAAAGTGCGAACTGATTTAAATATGAGAAATATTTGGTTAAAACTGGTAAGAAGAGACCCGAAGGCATTGTCTACAAAATCTAAACTATACTTCTGTGAAGATCACTTTGATGTAAGTATGACTTTATTTAACTATCGATTAAACAAAACAAAGCATTTTGACATGATAGGTACCTATTGCAAGTCAAATTTTGTAATAGATTAGGTTAATCGCTTGTCTGTCCCACCCTTTGTGGGCCATTTTGATAGCCCTTGCAAGTGCATTGCAGTGTTTTACTTAATTCCTGTTTTCTTCTATTATATGGGAATAAAGACATGGTTTGTACTCAGACCAAATAAAAAAGTGACTTTTTATTTCGTCTGAGGGTTTGTACAAAAGAATATAACAAAAAGTTTTTCTCACCTAACCTTATATTATATTATCTATAACATTAGTGCTGAAAGCGAAGTAATAAACTCGCTTTTACGAATCTGTCTTTAATAATGCCTTTTCAATAAAATTCGGAATAAAAGTCAACAATCGTAAAGATAACTTGAAAAATTTCGAAATTAGCTAGTTAGTACACACCACATAACTTAATTCTTTGACCTAGTGACGTCACGACGCTATCTAATATGGCGGACAACGCTTTTTTTTTGGAGTTTATGGCCTGGTATCTAGACCTTTAGGCCAACGGACAACGCTTTGCATGTTTGAGACACAGGTTAAAAAAATATACTTTAAATTAAAAAATAAAATTTATAGTGCATTTTTATAAATAGAAATCAATATTTCTCGTTTACTTTTTACAAAATCTATCATAAATATATATTCTTTGATTTTTTTTACATGGTGTAAAATACCCTATTATGCGATAGTCAACGACTATAGGAAAGGGTAACTTTAAAGTATTATTTTTTTTTATTAAGTTTGTCGGAACTTCATTACAAGATCCCATTTCTGATGTTGTGAATTCAACAAGAAGGTTAATTGTTAAAAAAGTAAAAGTCTGAGAGCGAATTTTCAACTTTCTCTCTTGCTTACGCAATTAATCATTATCAGTAATAACATGGACTACACATTCAGTATAGTGCAATTACAGTTCGAACATACCGTAGTAACATGTCCCCGTCACAATTACACAGTGGTGTAACGTAAAGGACGTAATTACGTGATTACACCAAAGTATGCACACCAACAGCAACTCTACAAACCTTAGTGACTGATTGAGTGAGAGCAGTCTCTCACTCAATCAGTCACACAAACATACATGTTAGTAATATCTCGTAAGTTTTGATCATTCTTTTCGAAGTAACTAAACAAAGTAGTAATGCAAGAAAACGAACACGTGTCATTCCGTTTGCTGACTTTATGTATTATATTTATTATAATTGTTGTGATTTAGATATACTCATGTACTTGTGGTTATACATTTATTTTTAATTTATTAACTATAAAAATCGATTATGCCTCACGGTGTCATAAAAGCATGCCTGAAATAAATTAATTTGAGCGAGTTTTAACCAAAATCGTGAAGGTAGAAGAAACCTCAGGGATATCATATTAATACAATTTACCTATATAATTATGTTAATTAAATAAATTGTTTAATGATTATTGTAATATGAATAAATTTAATTTTAAATAATGATTAATAAGCTCTTTCTACCGTTATTTATAAGATCCTGGAAATGGAAGAAGAGATAGACAAGTTGCGCTGTAATATTATAGAATTATCCGAAGTCCGAAGAGAGGGGGAGGACACGGTAATCCTCGAATCCATCAACATGTTCCATCACCGGGAAGGCGACTATCTGTCCCAAGGAGGTGTCGGATATATCATCCACAAGTCTCTCGCTAATAACGTTGTAAAGATTGGGAGTGTGTCGACGAGGGTTGCGTACCTTATACTCAGAATTAGCAAAGGGTATTCGCTGAAGGTTATACACGTTTACGCGCGAACCTCGGCACATACCGATGAGGAGTTAAGAGGAAATGTATGAAGATATCTCTAGAGCCATTCATTCCTTGAAGACCCACTATACGGTGTTAAGGGGAGACTTTAACGCAAAACTAGGCACAAGAGATTACGGTGAGCTGAAAGTAGGAAAATTTGGATTAGGGCAACGGAAAGCAAGGGGCCAGCAGCTGGTCGACTTCATGGAGAAAGAGGGACACTCTATGATGAACTCTTTCTTCAATAAGCTGCCCCACATGTAGTGGACCTGGTCGAGCTCCGACGGTTCGACAAAAAATGAGATTGACTTCATTATGACGACCAGACGACAACTTTTTAGCTCTAGTTACAAAATCGTTTTCAGTGCCTATAAGATTGCAATGCAGTGGACGATATAAATGACAAGCTCGTGGAAACTGTCCATGCAGTCGCATCTAAGTTTTGCAAGACCCGCCGCAGAAGAACACTAAAACTCTCCGATCACACTCTTAATCTCATGGCTGTTAGACGGCAAATAAATCTGCAGTCTTCAGTAGATTTGACAGCAACCCTTTTTATACAAACTTAGTTAGTTTAATAAAGTTTTTGAAATTTGAGCAGGTCAAATTTTGTATATTTTCGAGATTTGGTTGCAAAAGCGCCCCAAGAATGATTTACCGACTCGGTGACATCGAGTAACTGGTACTACTATCTTGTGTCTGTCCGTAGTATTTACTGAATGAATATCACTTATTTTTGTTAAACTAGTTTTACTTTTGTGTACGTACATTAGATTTTCATAAATGTATTGAGAGGTCAAAGTTAACATAATAATTTTCTTAAATTTTTGTCGCAGCGACTCTTCAGGCTTTAAATTATAAATTGCTCTTATGGCCTTCTTCTGTAAAGCAACAAAACAAACAATGTGACGCGTAATTTTTATATATAAAGATAGCACATGCTATGTCTAAAGTTCGCTCAACAGAAAGTAAAATGTTTTTCAATGCCAAGGAGCTCACAATATCTTTACGTTCTTTACATAACAATAAATTACTAGCTAATATTAAGGAGCTACCTCTTAAAACCTTTTCTCTACTGAAGGAACTGATCACCAGGTGATTACTTTAGTTAAACATTAAGTTATAAGCTATTAACCAATGTTTAGTAATACATAGCATTAACTGTATCAGATCAGGACGTAGCAATGGTTTTTGAGAAATATTTTACTGATATTCCGATATTGACCACTAAGTCACTGAATTATTCTCCTGCCATCGCCGAATCATTACTTAAACAAAATGTAAATGACCTAAACCAAACGGAGGGCGTGAAGCGTTTAGCATGAATAGTCAATTCAAATAACGTTACGGGCAAGAGATTTTTTAATATATATTGCTTTTTTTACCAAAATATTATATATTTTATATATTATTTGTTGTAGTGGGAAAATTTTCAAAGTTATTTATAATTATCTAATATCTTCATCGTGATCATCACTACAGCCTGTCAAAGTCCAATGCTGAATATAGGCGTTGCTCATAGATTTCAAATGTTTTTTGCGATAGTTGAAACGCTTGAAGGAAAAACTTTAAACGGTTC